ATGATGAAATAGAGTATGACCACAAAGCTTGATTAAAAATATATTGACATGATCTCTATTTATAATGTTTGAAAAAAATTTCTTAACATATTAGGGAGATTTGCTCGTCAAAATATTATCTTCTATTAAAGTAAACCCAACATATCAAATGGCTACGTCACGTATCCGATCTACACGTATTAGTGATCGGCTAGAACAGAGAAAACAATAATTGAGGATATGAATAATAACGATGCTCTCTTGTCATGATGCACTCCTGTCTGCAGACTTTAGGGTCCATCCGGTAACACACGGCATTAAAAGTCACCCAAACGTAAGGCCCCCGCCGTGGTCGACTACAATTCCCACTTTATGATAATGTAAGTAAGACTTGTGATTCAGCAGAGTTGTGATCGTATTATTTTTTTATTCAAGAAAAACTTATTGAATAAAGTGAGATAATGTTATTTGAATCCTTATATTATGATTCGTTCGGATTAGACATTTTAATCTCAACGTCATCTCATACCGTTGCCTAAACTTGTAAGGTTAATGTATTTTATTCAGACGAAGACATTGACTTTCCACGGAAGAAGGCGGGCGTTGAGGAATCAACGATCGAAGGCCAGCAAGCTCCGAGGAGTGGCACTACAAAGCAAAAGAAATGTTAGAGGTTTACGGATGAAACTTCTTCGATCCACTCTGCTCACTCCAATCCTCTAAACATATTTAGATAATACAGGAAGGGTCAAAGACCATTTTATTAATCGTTCAATGCAGTGAACACGTAAATGCATTTTCACAAACACATGGATAGTAAAAGACTGGCTGGCTGCGTGACGTGACTACTACATGCTCTTGGTGACGGTGAAGCCCCCGTCGACGAAGAGGTTGTGGCCGCTCACGTACCTCGACTCGTCGCTGGCCAAGTAAAGCACCGCCTCCGCTATGTCTTCTGGCTTGGCCGTCACCCCCTTGAGATTGGCGCCCGCATCCAACAGCCTCTCCACCTCCTCGTCGGTCATGCCCAACGCAGCACTTGTCATCGGCGTCGCCAGCAGATGCGGCGACACGCAGTTCGCCCGCACCCCGAACTTCCCCAGCTCCGCCGCGGCGCTCCGCATCAACCCCACCACCGCGTACTTCGAGCAGGTGTAGAACGCCGGCGCCATCCCCCCCAACGCCGACACCGAGCTCGCGGTCGTCACGATGCACCCGCTGCGGGCCGGCGCCATGACGCGCGCCGCGTGCTTCGTCCCCAGGTAGACTCCCAGCACGTTGACGGCCATCATCCGCTCGAAGAGGGAGGCGGAGTGCTCGCCGTTGAGGAACCCGTGATCGCGTCCCAGGGCGACGCCTGCGTTGTTAAACATGATGTCGAGCTTACCGTGGAGGGAGACGGCGGTGTCGACAGCATTCTTGACGTCGGCCTCACTGGTGACGTCGCAGTGGACGTAGGAGGCGACGTCGAGGCCGAGGGCGGCGCAGAGCGAGCGTCCCTTCTCGTCCTTGATGTCTGCAACCACCACTCGTGCGCCATGTCGGACGAACAGCTTGACCGTGCACTCGCCGATGCCGCTCGCGCCGCCCGTGATCACGGCGACCTTGCCTTCAAGCCTGCACAACACAACAACTCTCAGGTATTCTTTCCCTTTTCTTCATGACGAGGTACGATCAAGAACAACAAACTTCCACGGGCCAAATAATGAAGAAGACCTTCGTGCAATAGAGGATCCAACTGAGACGCTGGCCATTGCTTGAAGGTTGCCACGTTCCAGATCGAGATGCTCCATTTTTGCTTGGTTGGGAGGTCTTCTTTATATAGAACAATGTTACGCAGAATAGTCTCTTTATCTTTGTGTAAGAAAATATCAAAGTCCACATGTCTGCGTACGACTACTACAGTTCATTGCATGCGACCATTGACCAGCTCAACAAGATTTGCGTGGGTAGAACAAATACCTCATTCAACAGAGACTGCATTCAAAAGTCTTCTTTTTTTTTATTCCAGAAAAAAAAATTCAAAAGATGAAAACAATAATAGAATAATGTGGTGTGGATTAATATTCTTAATCTGCTCGACTTTGAATCCGAAACTAAGGAATGTACGTCTGAAGAAGTAACCATTGCATGATGCTATCAAGTGTAGCAACGGATCTAATCTAAAGCCAAGAGAGAGATCAAGAAGTACAAACAGGGAGGTGGAAGCCTAAGAGAAGAAAACTAAGAACTGCTATAAGTGAAATATCTGGTGTTCTAGATGATATCTGAGCAGTAAGTTTCATGCTGATGTGGTTCGAAAGTGAAAGCTTCTGTGTCTGATGATATTTGCCTCATATGTGCGTAAGCACTTTGCTGGGAAGCTGATTTAACCTTAGTTTGCACCTAACAATTGGTATTACAGTCAAGGTATTGAAATATTCAATTAAAAATGTAATATGATGTTTGTACCATAGTCGTACTGAAGATTGACAAAAGATTGGTAGAACTACATGTTTAGTTAGTGATTGTGTAATACCATCAATGCCAATCTCAAGCCGAGACGAGAAAGATAGGAAGAGAGGAGAAAGGATCTACTTCTTGCACTCTTTGCAAACGGATCGGTACCTACAACAATCTTGGATCAAAGACGGTGGTTAGCAGATCAAACGAGATCTTTGAAGAAATGGCATCAAAAGGTACGCATCGTAATAATTAGATCTATACACTTGATTTCAATCCTAGCATATAAGTTATTTCCGCATTTCAGGTATAGCATAATTATAAATTTTATGCTTACAATTGGTATAAGAGCCAAGTTTTTGAGATCAAATGTATTAGATCTATAAATTTATTTATGATTCATGAATTACCTTTATCTTCTAAGAATTGCTAAGCGGTAATGGTCACCGTCGACCTCGTTGTGAATCTGCGACTATGTCGAGTAGCATGCGCATCACAGAACCCGTCCCGTATGCGGGCATCACAGAACCCATCTCGTATACGGGCATCACAGAACCTGTCCCATACGTGGGCATCACAGAACTCGTCCATGCGACGGGCGGCCGCATGCAGGCAGACAGCCCAGGTGGCGGCCGTGCGTGAGTAGGCCGTGCATAGGCGGCGACTGCACGCTAGCAGCAGCCACACGCGGGCAGGAACCGCTGTAGCGGCAACGACTGCGCGCATGCTAGAACTATCGCTGGTAGCCGCGCATAGGCGGTAGCCTAGTAGCCGCACACCGGTGGAGCCCGCAGCCGCGTACAGGCGGCCGCACCGCAGGCAGCAGCGACAACGCCGCTCGTGCAAATGGCGACGACGAATGCAGATTAGGTTTTTGGCAAAATTACGATTTTGCCCTCGAGGCTAAGGTTTTGCAAAATTACATTTTTACCCTTTGCAAATTTCGTAATTTCAGGTTATGTTCTGTCAAAATATTTATGGTTTTACCCTCGGGTTTAATTTATGCCAAAATTATAATTCTACCATTCGCATATTTCTGATTTATAACATTTCAAATATATACGGTTTTATCAAAATTGAGAAATTTAGTTTATATTCTTAATTATAAATTGATAAATATGATTTATTATAATTATGATTAATTTTATTCATAATTATATTTTTGATTATTTGATTGGATTTAATTTTTTATTAAAAAATATAAATTATGGTTTACTTTATAGTTTTCTCATATGAATTATTGATTATACATATGGTAAATAAAATTAAAATCTAATTATTATTTTTAAAATTTTATTTACTTATTCACATGTATATATATATAGATATATATATATATATATATGAAATTGTGAAATAATGTATACCTTTCACATGAATGCATGATTTATATGAATTATTGATTATACATGTGGAAAATAAAATTAAAATCTAATTATTATTTTTAGAATTTTATTTACTTATTCACATGTATGTATATGAAATTATGAAATAATATTTACCTTTCACATGAAGGCATGATTTATATGTTATCATGATTATCATATGAGGTTTTTTTTACTGATTAATATTCAATAATTATTATTGTTATTTATTATTGAATTGCTTAGTATTAATGTTCAATAATTATTATTGTTATTTATTATTGAATTGTTAGCATTAATGTTCAATAATTATTATTGTTATTTATTATTGAACTGCTTAGTATTAATATTTAATAATTATTATGGTTATTTTATTATTGAATTACTTAGCAAAAATTAAAGAAATTGATGAATATTATTTGTAATTCATCTCCCTAAATTTTATCTGACTAGTAGCTGCCAAAGTGGCTTAGGATGATAAAACTTTTATGATATGAATTACAATAAAAGTTTTGTCATTTATAGGATATTTTATATTTTATTTTATATTATTGCATTAGTCTTGTAGCCACCAAAGTGACCTGGACTAATGACTTATAAAATAATATTAAGGAATTAGTCCTATATGATATTAAGAAAATAATATTCATAATGACACATATAATTAGGAGATTTAGATAATCCCAAAGGAGAATCTAATTCAAATAATTATATGATGGGGTAGGATGATACTGTTTTTGGATATCCTTACAGTTTAGGGTTGTATACCCAAATGTAACAATACTATTCCACAAGGATGGTATCAATCCTCCATAAATATTCTTGAGTGAATACTATATATGTCAATATTTCACCCAAAGGTGTAATATAGATAATATCAATAGTTCATCAATTTTTGACAAACTCAAAGCATTAATGTTATTCTATATTTTTTGTAGTGGTACTTCCGCATATACATTCTTATGCATCTAGTGTCTTTATACTATTTGGATCAAATTATTCAGAATGGTTAGAGCATTTGCAATTCACACTAGGTGTATTAAATCTTGATTTAGCATTACTTGTTGAAAAGCCTGCAGACTTAACTGATGAAAGTACTGTAGAACAAGTAAATGAAATGAAGGCTTGAGAAAGATCTGATAGACTTAGTTTAATGTTCATAAGAATGACAATTGCAAATAACATAAAGACTTCGTTACTGACTACAACTAGCGCAAAGGAATATTTAAAGGTTATTGAAGATATATTTAAATCTGCTGATAAGTCATTGGCTGGCACATTAATGAAAGAACTGACTACGGCTCAGTATGATGACACTCGAGGAATTCAGGATCATATCCTCAATATGGCTAACAAAGCTGCAAAACTTAAAACATTAGGCATGAATGTTGATGAATCTTTTCTCATGCGATTTATTCTCAAATTCTCTTTCTTCTCAGTTTGGCCCATTCAAGATTCACTACAACACAAATAAGGATAAGTGGGACTTGAATGAGTTGACTAGTATATGTGTTCAAGAAGAATTGAGGTTAAGATAGGAAAGTTCATATAATGTCATGGCCACTACTCAAGGAGCTGGTAATAAGAAAAGAAAGTTGAAGCATTATCAATTAAAGAAACTTGTCGGGTCTGAAAATGTTAAACGGAGTAATGAAAAGAAAGCCTTTATTATAAAGTGCTTCTTTTGTGGCAAGAAAGGACACGTGAAGAATGATTGCATTAAATGCAAGACTTGGTTCGAAAAGAAATGTATTAACTCGACCTTTGTATGTTTCGAATCAAACATTACAGAAGTTCCTTCTAACACTTGGTGGATTGATTCTGGTGCTTCAACTCATGTTACAAATAATATGCAGGGATATCTTTCAATTCGAAAACCAAAAGAACATGAAAGATTCATCATTATAGGAAATCGTCTTAAAGCGAAAGTGATATCAATGGGAACTTATCGTCTACGCTAAGAGACGGGTCACTTGATGGATCTTGTCGATATATATTATGTCCTTACATTTTCTAGAAATTTAGTTTCTCTTTCTAGAATTGACGAGTTAGGATATTATCTTTCTTTTGGTAGTGGCAAATTCAGTATGTTTTATGATTCAATAAAAGTTGGTTCTAGAATTCTCTGTAATGGTTTGTATAGAATTAATTTCGATCTTGAGTTTGCAAAGACATTAATGACCCTACAATCAAGTGTTGGATTGAAACGTAGTTTCAATAATGAAAGATCTTCTATATTGTGGCATAGACGATTGGGGCATATCTTCAAGGTAAGAATTGAAAGATTAGTGAATGATAATATTTTAGAACATTTAGACTTCACTGATTTTGATATTTGTATAGATTGCATTAAGGGAAAGCAAACTAAACATATAAAGAAAAATGCCACAAGAAGTAAAGAATTCCTTGAGATTATTCATACTAATATCTGCGGACCACTCCATATTCCTTGTTTTAGTGGAGAAAAATATTTCATCACATTTATAGATGATCTGTCCAGATATGTTTATCTAATACATGAAAAGTCTCAAGCCATTGATACTCTTGAAGTATACATAAATGAGGTTGAGAGATAATTAGATAGAAAAGTTAAAATTATCAGATCTGATAGAGGTGGTGAATTTTATGGCAA